AAAAAAAAAACAAAAAGACAACGGTTTACTGTAGAAGACACAGTAATCGAGTTCAATTGAAAAATGAATATCTTAAGAAAGATATATTCGTTTTCTTCGAAACTTTCACGGTTATTTAATAACTATCAAATATACTTATAGACAATATTTCAGATCAAAATTATTTGTTTTGAATTATTCCTAATAAAAATTTCATTAAAACAACCGTGAGTCCGAATTTCTTTCAATTTTTCATACTTTAATCGCAGCCATAATATAAAACCGAACAGGTTCCGACGGTTGGATATGTTCTTTAGTAAGAATAATCGATTCTATCTATTTCGCCTATAAGATATTGCTTCTCTTGATATACTCAATATCTCCTGTAAAATACATTCGTTTGAGTTGAAATTCGTAGAAAATTTCATAAATCAATTTTCTATGAACACATGACCAAGAGGATAACACGACCGTTGTACTTCAGACAGTTGCTCTCGTGATATTGAGTACTGGTAGTAGTAAGGATGAGCGCAAAGGGAGTGTCAAGGAGGAAATTAAGATGAGAATGTGAGGGCGAAGGAAAATGTCAGGCCATAGCTTGAGGTTAGGACAAGAGCGAAGGAAGTGTGAGGAAGAGGAAATCTATATATAACTTCAGTACTTCTAACTTAGAATCGTAGGAAAGAAAATGTCAGGAAAACAACAGCTGTGGATTTGACCGAAAGATCTAACATTCATAATTCTGACTGGATAATGTATGAACCTAAGTCCATTTAGATTTCGACTAGTCTCATAAAATTCTGCTTATGAGTCATTTGATAAGCATGATCATCGTCCGGAAGTTGTTAATTGAACAGATAATGACATATAAGAATATTTATCTGTCGAGAAGTTTTCCAGAATTCTAACATTTTTCATCATATTTAGAATCCATTGTCAGCTGTTGATATTCAAATGTTTTATATTTATCTATTAACAAGAGAATAAACATTTCCGACATAGAGCAAAAATCAGTATAATTACTGTTACGTTTTACGAAAAAAAAAAAATAAAGTATCTAATTAACTGTTAAAATTTACATTAATATTTTGTATAATAAATCCATCAATCCAAAATGAACTATTGTATGATATAGTTATGCACAAAATAATATTTATCTATAGTATAAAAATTACATTAAGACGATATCTAAAAAGAAATATAAACTTACTTCGTAATGAAATATTATGAATCGATAGATGATTATTTTTTGTCTAAATGAATTCTATTTTTGTAATAGTACAATTTTGAAGATATATTTTTTTTTCTCTCAGAAAATGTAGGAAACATTTTTGTTTTAATTAATCATATATTGAAGAATAAAAAACAAAACAAAACAAAAGTTAGAATGCTCATGCATTTTGTTTCGGTGAAAAACAAACTGGACAAGCAAAGAAAAAAACCGCACACAGCACACAGTTGCCTAAACAGAAAAAAAAACCAGAGTAAATCGCATAACAATAACAATAACAATAGTTCTCATCATTCTCCTAATTCATTTTTAAGTCATATTCATAGCTTTAGCAGCATTCGATGGTTCAGCTGATGATTTCGGTACTTTAATTGTTTCATCAACACTTAATATTAAACAAGCTGCTTCACTTGCTGCTGTTATAGCATTAATTTTAACAACTGCTGGTTCCCAAACAGCTGCTGTAAAATTATCATGAACATCTTCATGTATTATATCAACACCAAACCAAATATGATCTATAAAGATGAAAAAAAACAAATAAGAATATCAAAAATATAAATCTTTCGTTTTGTTTTTTGAATTTTACTTTCAAAATGTTTTTGTCGAAGTTTATTTAAAATATTTGTTGCATCAAATCCAGCATTTTCACATAATTGTCTTGGTATAACTTCAAATGCTTTTGCATATGCAGCTATAATTAATTGTTCTTTACCTGGTATTGTTCGACTATAATCACGTAATGTACGACTTAATGCCATTTCAATTGCACCACCACCAGCAACAATTGAATCATTTTTAACAGCACGTCGTACAATCATAATTGCATCATGTAATGAACGTTCAACTTCATCAATAAATTGTTCAGCACCACCACGTAATATCATTGTTGCTGTTTGAGCTTTTGGACAACCAGTAAAAAAATTATAACGTTCAGAACCAATTTGTACTTCTTCAAGAATGTCACATGTACCAAATACATGTTGAGATTGTTCATGAAGATTTTCAACAGTTGTTATTATTGTACCACCACATGCTTTTTGTGTACGTTTAAGATCATCTTCTTGTACACGTCCAGCACAAAACATTTCTCTTTGAAAAAAAAAAAGAAAATTTTAAATGTCAACAATTCAACACGATTTATAGTGAAACTTGGATTTAAAAAAAAAAAGTCGGAAAAGTCAAAAGCATGCATAACTCTTCTTCTAACCATATGAAAAGTAAAATTTAAACAAAAAAAAAAGAAAATTTTTATTCAAAATCATTTACCGATCAGCAAAATATTGTGTTGCAACATCACCAATAGGTAATTTTGAAAGAACAACTTTAACACCAGCTTTATATAATTTTTCAAGTTTATTATAAAGTATTGACCATTCAGCATCAACAATTTTTTGATATTCCTATATATGAAAAAAAAAAGAAAAATATTTTCAATGACAAAAAAAAAACGAAATTTATTCAAAAAAATTTTACATCAACATTATCAAGACGAATTTCTGCATTATCACGTTCAGCTTTTAATTCAAGTTCAATATTAAGTAAAGCTATTATAGGTTTTAAATATTTTTTTCGTTGCATTTCAAAACCAGCATATGAAAATGTTTTTTTAAATGCAACACCAGCAATAAGACGTGAATCCTAAATAAATAAAGAAATCAAAAGAAAAAAAAAAAATATTTATTTTCTATTGTTCAATAAAATTTTCTACCTCAAGTGAACCACCTGTAACTTTTTTAATTCCAATCCTAAAAAATAAATTCTATTATTTATAAAATCAAAGGGATGTATTAGAGATCAAATCGACCCACTAGTACTTTTCTATTTTCCAAAGGCAAGAAAAATTTAGTCACTTGAAGAATTCCTTAAACACACTATTCTGATGTCAATATTTAGAAGATATCGATTAGAAAAAGCTCAGTTTGAGTCTGATATTCAAAATCAGCTTAAAAAACCGAATTGATCTATGTGTGATTTACAGAATCGGTACAACTTTTTTAACTCGTCATGATCCTCCTCGGAGATCAGACGAAAAATAAAATCATTGACAAAGTTATTTTTATTTTGTCATCTAATAACTTTAAACGAATTTCGACATTTCGCTATAATGTTTATATGATGTTTTCATACAACTTATTTTTCGTCGGATTTCTGAGGAAGACTGCGGATAGAGAACATCGAGTTCAAAAATTTCTGAATCCGAATTCGGTCGGGTCGGATCCAATGGGCTCTCACTACAAGTGAATGTTCCAACAAAAAAAAAAGTTTTCGAAATTCTTTAAACCACACATGGATCAACTCAGGTTTTTATGCTGATTCTAAATATCAGACTCATATTGAACTTTTTCTCATTGAAATCTGCTAACTATTGATCAGAAAGATACAAGAATAGTGTTAAAGAGTGGCCAAATGTATTTTGACTTGGTAAAATATATGATGTTGTAGCTTTTCAGAAGAACTATCAAGTGAGCAATGTCAGAGTTTTGATTATTTTCAATTTTTAAATTAAAATGTAACAGTGAATGATAAATACAGTAAATATGTTAACAGTACATCGAACTTATAAAATTAATAATCTATTAGTGATTTAATATGGGATTGACCCTCCCCCTCCCGTCCATCAAAATAATGAACAGAAAGGTTCTTTTCAATATGCTCTTTCGGTTGATATATGATTCTAGCGAAGAAAAGTTCTAGTAGGTCGATTTGACCTCTTTTCCTATACACTCCTGTCCATTATTCAAATAAATATAATTACATATTCAATGGAAGTAATTCATCTAACATAAGAACAGCATCAACAACCATTTTTGCAAAAAATTCACGTTGTCGTGCTATTAATTTTGAACTTAATGTTGTACATGCACATTTTTCAAGTAAAGCTCGATGTTCTCTTAATAGAAAAAAGAAATGAACTTTTTTTGGAATCAATTTCAAAATATAAATATTCATATCTTACTTAGCATCATTTGATTTAATATTAACAGCAATTTCTTTAATTTTTTTAATAGTTAATGCTGTAGCTTTTCGTATAGCACGAATAATTATAGTTGAATGCATACCATCTTCAATAAATGTTTTTGTATTTTTTAATATTTCAGCTGTTAATAAAACAACTGATGTTGTACCATCACCAACTTCAGCATCTTGAGATTTAGCTATATCAACAAGTGTTCGAGCTGCTGGATGAACAATTTCAAGTAATTTAAGTATTGTTGCACCATCATTTGATATTGTTGGTTTACCACGATTATCAACTATTAATTTATCCATACCACGTGGACCTAATGTTGTACGTATAGCTTCAGCAACAGCTTGACATGCACTTATATTTGATAAAATTTGAGATTTTCCTTGTGAAGAATCAGTACCTTCTTTAAGAATAATAATCATTGGTTGCATTTTTTAGACTTTAAAAAATACGAAAAAATTTATCTAAAAGAATTTTTCAAAGATTATATATTAAGAATTCAATAGAAGAAAACTTTAAATTAATATAAAAGACTAAGCAACACAGATCGATTGATACATACACACACATAAGGTAACTAATGAAATTCAATTGGATTATTAAATCGAATTTTTATTATCCAATAAATCTTTTTTTCTTTATTATAGAACATATTTTATCAATTAGAAACGTAATTGAAATTTAAAATAAATCTTTTATTATTTGTATTTTTTTTGTAATATACAGATGTCGTTAGTAACACAAATTCTGATAACATTTGCTAAATTTACTACTTGATGATGATAAGAATGAAAATAGATAGACATATCATTTTAAAATATGTTACAGGTAATAGATAATACACGAGCAGGTTTTCTTTGTCCAAAATGCCATCAAGATATGTCAAATATGGAAATGTTACAAATACATTTTCAAAATGTACATATGAAACAATCTTCAACAACAGTTAAAGGTATTCTATCGTCTTTGAATAACGCAGGAAAATAGATTTGATAATGCTGAATATTTTGCTCTTGAACAAAGAAGTAAATAAATTTGTCCTATTATCAATAAACTTATATTTTGTATATCTATTATCTTAATCATTTCAACTCAGCTTCTCCGACATCGATTAGATGCTTTTTATAATTTTCCTCAACACTGCTAAAGGTTCCGTATAGAGGAATATATTGCGTAGTATCTTCACCTAAAGGAATACCCTAAGAATGTGCGCAGGTTCCACAGCATGAAGTCTGATTGTTGTTTGACAGCTTCGTTATGCATTTCAACGGATAGAAAAGTATCGAACGAGTCGTATATTTCAACTACATGAATTAATTCTTTTGTTGAAATTACATCATAAATCTTCAATAGCAGATAATGGAATAGGGTTCTAGAAATTCATAAAAGACATCATATGCTAACGTCACATTGTTTTATCATCTTCAAAATGTAAAACTTAAGAATTTATTTTTGATATACTTTGAGGTTTGTTTTCATTGGCAAAACAAAAAATCAAAAATGTTCAAGATAATTTTCAAAATTCTAATGAATCATCAAAAATTTATGCACAATACTTTTCATTTAATTCAAATGATTCTTATTCAAAAAAACAATGTATAGGATATGCTCGTTCACATAATACTTATTTTCAAATTATACGAAAAGATAAACATAATCAAATATTTATTCATATGAGACAACTTTTACTTCGAATTGAATTATTAACTAATACTAATGAACATATACCACGTAATGGAAATAGTAAAGAACGTCGAAGTAAAATAATTGAAATTTTTTATTTTATATAAAAAAAAAATAAATAAAGATTTATTTTGTATAGAATATGAACAAAGTATTGTTGCATGGATGGAAGATTCAGTTGCATCAATTTGTGCATCATGTTCTAAATCATTTGGTTTATCTCGACGAAAACATCATTGTCGTCTTGATGGATTGGTTATTTGTAATCAATGTTCACAATTTCTTTCATTTTCTATAGCTCGTAAAATATCATTTTATTAGTGAATTTTTGTGAAATTAGTGAGTGTAAGTTTTAAGTTGAGATTTTTCGGCTCCACCGTTAGCGTGAAAAATACGCTCAAAGGCATTAACAACAGTACTTAAACTGTTCAAAGCCATTCTTAGAAATTCGAATGGCTGGAATATGTTTGTGAATGTTCTCAATAATATAGTTTTCGATTTTTGCGTAGATAAAAGTTTTAGATTCAAGATGTCAAGAATGATAGGTAACCATTATGGAGCTGCGGGTCCTTCGAGACTCGGCCGGGTCAGAGTCCAATCTTTTATTTTTTGTTGAATCTGGTTACACGTTTTTGTAGACCCGCTGCTCTCCAGATGAGAAATACAGCAACAGGATATAACTGCACTTTGAGTTTTTCTCTGAGTAGCGAATAAATAACTGAAATCTTGATTCTTTACTTGTTCATGTACACGAAGAATGCTGGGTGTTGATGAAAAAAATCTCGGATTTGGATCAGGCCGGGTCTACAAAAGCGTGAACTCATAGCTCTCTAGCAATCATACATTGATTTTCCACAGTCATCATATGATCAACATAAAAAGCATGAACTGATCAAGTTATAACTTAGAACAATAATCAATATCAATGTTTTTGAGCGTATCGAGATATATGATAGTGTGTTGAGACCTGCTGTAGACGGAAAGCTGCAGGTCCTTCTAGACTCGAGTTCGGATCCGCAGATCTCTAACTATAGGTATAATGGATATGTACAACAGGCTTATTTATCAGTCAAAGCAATGGCTAGAATAATAATACAACTATAGTGTTTCACTTAACATATTTTAGACAAAATTTTCTTTTTTTGCATATTATTTAATTATTAGGATGTATTATCGATTCAAATATACCAACCTCTTCAACAACCAATAGTCTTGCAATTCAACGATTAATTAATCTAAAAAGTATAATTTCATCAACAATTATTAAAGATCGATCAAATGAAGATTATCTTCGTATTTGTATATCTTGTGCACGATGTTTACAAAATAATTATCGTCAAATATGTTTTAATAATATTCAAAAAGATGAAGTATTTCATCATTATGAAGTAAATTTTTGTTTGGAAATTAATTTAATAATAATACAACAACAAAAAAAAACAAAATTTTTTTGTTTTTTAGAAAATTGTTCAAGCACAAAAAGAATATAATAATTTTCATTCAACATATTTACCTATAATCGATTCTCTTTTGTAAGAATCTTTATTAAAATTAAAGAAAACAAAAAAGTTATTTTAAATTTCATTTAACAGAAGTGGAGATACGAAATATCAAATCGTTGATGCTCAACAAGTATATCGAGAATTAAGTGTTAGTTATGAAAAAATTGATTCAATATCGTATGTTTTTTTAAAAAAGTATAAAACTTTAATCTTATTCTTTAATTATTTTAGAAAACAAATTGTCATATTAGCAGATAAATATTCAAATATAAATGAAAATGATATTACATCGAAAAATCGTTATCCTACACTTTGTCGTAATATTCGTACATATTCGATACAAGTTTTACAAAATTTTTCAGTATCAACTAAACGTGTACCAAGTGAAGATGATATAAAACAAGCACGCAATGAAAAACAAAAACGATTAGATAATGAACGTATGATAAAAATATTTTTAAATATTCCAGGAATTAATCATAATTCATTAGAAATATCAGAAGAATTAGAACCATTTATTCAACAATATTATCAAATAACACAATTTATTGAACAAGCTAAAATAGCTGGACGTGATGATGAAGTTAAATTATTAGAATTAAATTTACAAGAACTTACACAAGCAATAAGTATTCTTCATCAAAATTGAGATTTAATTCGTTTTTTTTTTCTTTGTTTTTTAAAATAATGTAAATAAATTCTTCAGATTAGAAATATAAGTTTTGAATGAAAGAAAAAAGCAATTGGAAAGCGAAACAACTTGCACTAACCGGAAATAAGTTTGTTCGTAAAACTAGGAGTGACACTTTAACTTTTAAAGTAAAGTGCCACCCCTAATCAAAACAATTAAGACAAAAAAACTTGTCACAATTAGGACCAGAGGTGCAGAATCTACCGTAAAATTAAAAAATTTCTCCGCACGCATAATAACTCTCCAAAAATTTTCCCCACTATGAAAATAGAAGGAATTATCTTTTCCCAGCCAAATCTTTAACAATGTCGAAATAAATGACAAAGTCTCGCTGTTGTCATTAATTATCAATGAAAACAACTACAGTGTACACGAAATTTTTCAGCTTACATATGATGCATTTAAATATTAAGATTTAAGGATATATGTGAGTTTCACATTTCAGTTCCAAAGGAGCTGCGCTAATAAGCTTTTGTTAAAGGTTCTTCAATCGACATCTTTGAAAACAAACCTAACTCGCAAAGCTTTTTATAATTACTCATTCAGAAGTTATAGGTATTGTAGTTGAAACTCTTAGTAATTTTTCTAACGATTTCTGTGAAAAGTTTTTTTTTTATCGCTTTCTTTTTAATAAAAAAACGAATCTTTTTTAACTCAGAAAATTTGATTAAACAAACCTCAGACAATGTGCCAGGAAAAAGTTTTCTTCGTAAAAACTGGTTTTCTAGAGACCGCTTCAAGTCCCGGAACAAAAGGTTTTACGAATACTTTTGCACAAATAGTTTATTACGTGATGTCATTTATTTAAGAATTGTTAACCAAATTTCCTATTAGAATTTCATAAAAAAAAGAAAAAACGAAGTGTTATGAAGGATCCAAGTCAACACAAGATGAAAATCAAAAGGGATTAACCCCAAGCACTGGTGGTTCAGTGGTAGAATGCTCGCCTGCCACGCGGGCGACCCGGGTCCGATTCCCGGCCAGTGCATTTTTTTGTTTTATCCTTTTTTTAGTCTTTAATACTAATGGTTAATCGTAAAGCTAATTTATATCGTGCTTTTTATTGAAAAAAAATTATTCATAACGCCTCTTAATTTAATTTCCTTATATTTTAATCACATTAAAATTTTCTAATTTAATCAATAAATATGTCATGTTCGTAGTTAGACAAAGATAATTCAATTGTTAAAATCATTTTCATTTTTATTAAATAATTAATTACGAAAATTTTTCATCATTCAATACTTTTACCCATATGTGTAACTCATTTCTTCGTCTAATTATCATTTTCGTTTGTTTTGATTTTGGTAAAAAAAAAAATTATCTATGTTAATTTTAATGTAGCATCAAAAGTACAGTTCGAATTAGTCAATAACCAGCACTGGTGGTTCAGTGGTAGAATGCTCGCCTGCCACGCGGGCGACCCGGGTCCGATTCCCGGCTAGTGCAATGTTTTTTTTTCTTCACGATACATATTTCGTTTCGCTTGAGTAGGTATACACGAAGCGCAATGTCACATTATGCGTTTCTTTTTTCATGTTATAACGTTAAGAATTAAGATGATTATAGGAATTGAACAAAAATATAATATTTAGGCAATAATCAATCAAGTTTAACTATTTAGTATTATCTATAGTAGACATTGCTCTACCTTTTTAAAAAGTCTATGAAAAATTTCAATCGATTTTCTTCTCGGATACATCATGAGTTTTGAAGATGATCTGAATCTACGTTGAAAACAATATGCTTGCTGAAGTCTAATATAATGGATAGATATGCTAACTTCTTCTCTATCGATCTATACAAAGTCAAAATTGATAACGATTTGCGTTTCAAAAATATAAAAAGCTTTCTAAAGGCTATTCAAGAAATTTTTATGAAAATCTTAGTAACTAACAGATGTTTCCTTCTGTAAGTTTTTACTTGCCTTCGACTTCAAGATCAGCAAAAACTATATATTAATTAGATGTTGGTTTTTTCTGCAGTCATCATCACTCGCACATCTCTTTATTAATCAGACTTCTGTACCTTGACACCTATAGAGTTAACTTGGACTAATATGAAAATATAAATATTTGCTTTGAATGAAGTGAACAAATTGGCACAAGCATAGATTTATGTGCAATGAAAGCAATTAGTTACATCAGTCATGTCAAACAATGTTAGATAATACATAAAGAGGCCGATATTTATGTCGAAGACATTAAAGCAGAACTAAATGATCATAACAATGATTAAGATTATTGTTGACTTTCATAGTGAATCTATGGAAGCATCATAAAATTCTTCTCGATTGACCAATTTAGATTCAG